GTGTGTATATATACCATATATGTGTGTGTATATATGTATATATGTATACCATATGTGTGTATATATGTATATATGTATACCATATATGTGTGTGTATATATGTATATCATATGTGTGTGTATGTATATATGTATACCATATATGTGTGTATATATGTATATATGTATACCATATGTGTGTATATATGTACATATGTATACCATATGTATGTGTATATATGTATATATGTATACCATATGTGTGTGTATATATGTATATATGTATACCATATATATGTGTATATATGTATATATACACACACATATACCACATATACACACACATATATGCCATATATACATACACACACCATGTGTATATATAAAATATAGAAAATTATGTGTGTATATATACAAGATATGTATATAATATGTGTGTATATGTACATACACGCCATATTTTCTTTACCCAGTCATCATAAGTAAACTGTAAGTGTTGGTTATGTTAGTCTCATGGGAGTACTTATCAAAGTGTTTTTATTTGTAGGTTTATTCACAACAAAATGAAAACTTATACACAAATAGATTATTAGAAATCAGAATTATTTGTTTTACCTCTAATTATAATCCAAGTTACTAAAGAAATTCAGCTAGAGATATCACAAATCCTCCAAAATTTCTTCCAGATAAATTCACATCTGGACATTTACCTAACCAAATGATGAAGCTATTATAATAATGGCTACTAAAATACAAAAGTTCTATTAACCCACAACCCAAGATTATTTTGGCTATAATATCTGTTTCATGAAACGAATAATTGCTTATTTCAACAATGTCCTAACAGTTCAACATCAGTTTAAACTATACATACAACATCAGATTGCCCATGCAGAGTACTTTTGTATGTGATTATTTTTGATGGATTGTTTTTCATCTGAGCATGTGAAACTGATCATTATGGAACAAACGTACTTCCCATATCGTTTGGTCTGGGATGACTATTTTTAGGGTCTATCCTATTCGTGGTAATATATTTGGCTTACAGCTACTTGGAAGTCTTACTTCAAATTTGATAAATCATATCTGAACACTGAACACTCTACTGTGAAAACTGCTATGGATCTGTATTTTCTTTTCTTTTCTCTCTCCTCCCCTCCCCATCACTCTCTTTTCCTTCCTTCCCCTTCCTTCCCCTTCCCTTCTTTCTGTCGCTATTTCTATCTCTGTGTCTTTACCGCCCCCCCTTTCTTTCTCTCTTTTTTTCTCCTTATTTTCTTTCTTTTTTCCTTTGCCCATTTTATTCTGGGTTCTTTTAGGAGCTTTTCTGTACCAATGGTATTCTAAAATTTCACAATGGTATTCCTTGTTACAAGTCACTTTTTTTCATTAATTGTGCAGTGTTCACTTCGCCTTTTAAATGTGGAGATTCCTATTCTTCAGTTCTGGGAAATTTTATTGTATTATCCCCTTAACAATTTATTCAAATATGTCTTCTGTGTTCTGCCTGTCAGAAACTCTTACAAGAACCTACAAGATTGATTCCCAATG